AGATTTCATCCATCAACAGTAACAAGGGATTCCAGCTTTTCTCGTGATTTTTGTCGAGGAGACAACGGAGCCCTCTTGCTGGAGCTGGCCAGGTCCGGAGACGACATTGCCCCACCGCAATAACTAGCAACTAGATACAACTAAGCAGGCTACCACATCCTTGCATCGTTCCATCAGGAATCAAGTTGTGCAAGAAGTTTCCGCGGCAACGTCGAACTGCGCAATCCGTGGTCATGGCATGGGCTGTGTAATCTGGTCATGGCGGGATTTAGATCGGCGAATTTCGAAATTTTTTGGAAATATTATTTGCAGATGTTCTTTAATTTTCAGAATGTTGAGAATTTGCGGATAGACTAAAATTCTTGGAATTTGTTGAGGGTCAGCGGATCTATAAGAAGGTCAGCACCTGAGCGTGCAGGTGCCGCTCGTGAAAGATGTTCATGAAGGTGCAGGGGAGGATGATTGAGGTCATTGAATGCGGCGCAATTTCGCCAACGACAACAGAGCGAGGGCTGCCAAGCGCAATGGTGCTTGAGCCAGCTTTCAGTGCTGAATCGTGTGCAGTTTAGCTGGCAGCAAGTTGAGAGTCTTCAATGGATGCGGCGGCGTTGTGATGGCGGTGGCGGTGGTGGGGTCGGCAGTCGGGGTGGGGGTGGCGGTGGTGGTAGTGATGGTGGCGGCGGCGGGGTAGAGAAAAAGCCAAGGCACGTCCGGGCCACGCCCGGAAGAAATGACAAATTATCGGCATTGGCGTCAAATCACGTCCATCGAATCGAAGCCGCATGAGTGTTGACAATAATTAGGGTATGAATCATCATGAATGGACAGCCAGCACTGCTACCACCTTCAAATCAAACCTTTACCTACCTATTGGCTGCACCAACCCCAGGCAACAGTTTGCCGCCAGCTTTTTTGCCTCAACTACTTTGGGCGTTTGCTGGATTGAAGTTTCGGGAAGCCCTACGACGCACTTCTGCCTTAACTACTTGCAGGCTTGCGGCGGCTTGAAGTGCAGTTGAGGAAGTTCCCAAAAGGCATTTTCTGAGAGGTTCGCAAGGACGTAAACATGGTTCGCCGAATTTCATCCAGCCAGTAAATGCACCTTGAGAGCCACCAAAAAAACAAGTTTGTATGTGGGGCCTCGCAAGAAACTGCGCGGCTATGACTATGCCCCCTTCCAACCAATCCTATCAACGGATCGGCTTCATGTCAACATAACGCAATCGATCGAATCGATTGCGCCCAGCCTTGCAAAGCTTATGACGAAGAACACTCTAGGGTCATGATGGGGCACCTAGAGCCAAGTACCCAAACGCTTGCGCCAGAGGGCCTTCATGAAATGTACAAAGCCTTTTCTCATCCTCAATTAGCACAAAGCATCGGTGGCAAGCCGGACGACACGGGTGCAGGTTCTGCTCTCCTTCTCTAACATCAACACATCAGCCTTACACAACCACAGCACCTATGTCCACATAAATGTATACGCGCAAAAAATTGAATAGATATAGAGTGCGTAACAGGAAAAACAATCGAAACGCCGGTTTTGCACAGGCCTGCTCTTGCCGGAATTCATATTATTGCTGTTCTGACTTAATTTACTATCACTGCCATGGCTACTTGGATTGTTGCGCCTATCCGTTACAAACGTGTCTTTTTCAGTTAGCAGAGTTCCTCTCCCTTCCATCACTATACCAATATTGAATATGGTTGTTGAGCAGACTGATCCGCATGGGGCAGCTGCTGACAACAGCCCTCCCCCACTGAAGCCAGGGCAAACAACATGAAAGGAAGCCAAGTTTCCACTTCTGTGGTCATGACTACTGGTTTTAACATTGCTGCTGCTTTGGGATCTGCTGCACTCAGCTCCACTCAACCGCGATTGTGATTGGCATTAGCATTGCTTTCCATAGCCATGACTACACCTCCATGATAAGCATGATTGCAAGTATTGCTGCTAAGATGTTTGCTTGCAACGCGTGTCAAAGCGAGCTTCGTCTCCAGATGTTCTAGTCTGTGCAGTTTGAAGAAGCCTACAATTCAATTGAGCTCCTTAAAATTAACATCGCGAGGAAACCCATCAAGCACAGCAGCATGAAACCCCACCCCCTGCCGGACCCCGCTAGCGACCAAGCCCACTAGCATCGATCATCATCATAGCCCGTATACAAGCAAAGACGCTAAGAGTAGTGAGAAGCAGTGATTACAGTGGCAGTACCAAGATTTGCAAGGAGCTATGGAGCAGACAAGCCCACCAAAAGGCAAGAAAGCAACACCGAAAGCTGAAAACCACAGAAGCAGGAAATTGGGAAGGGCTAAACAGGAAAGGCAAGCAGAACCTTCTTATGAACCAGCACGGGGCTCATGTCTGTGCTATGCTGCTTTGACCCAGCACGTGCTCCCAAAACTTCTATGACTTGGCCTGTCCAGCACACGAAGTGCAGCAAGTGCTGACACATGCGCAGAGCTTCTGAAGACCAACTGTACAGAGATTGCCTCCGCAGCTGACAACGCAGCTGGAAAAATCTGAGTCTAGAACCATCTGTTCGCAGCGTTGCTTCTGTCATAGGTCGCACCACCGGTTCTGCAGAAAATGGCTGCTCTTGCTGCTGAAAGAGAGAAGCCGGTTCGAAGGTCTAGTGAGGTCTGATGCGGCGATGAAAGATCAATCACGGATGTATAAGCCCGTATAAACTGTTATTATACCCCCCCCTGTATAACCCCCTTTTTGACCCGCTGTGTAACCCTGCATGGCCGTGTGCCGCATTCGCGCCCCGAACCCACTGTCACATACCCCGTGAAAAGCCAGGTTACCTAGCCCCTGTCGCGTTTGTACGGCTTGTGAAACATGCTATGCTAGGGGGAATCTGCACAAAACTGGCCCTCTGTTACATACCCTAGCAACAGGGTATACAACGGGTGTTAAACGCCAATCACTTTGGCATGCTGCCACATCCCACAGCCCCTATATAAACCCTCCTGGGCCTGGCTTCAAGCCCTGTGCCTGTAGCACTTTCTCCTGCACAAATCGCGAAGCAACAAGTTGTGCAGGTTTTGCTTCACCAACGTTCAACAATTGCTGGCGGGCCCTGCTCCTCCATCTCCTTTGCCAGTCGAGCCTTTGATTCCTCCTCATGCGTCCTTTGCAGAGAGTGCAGAACGTGAAATAGCACAGACGACGCTGTCATCAGCATCATTTCTCCGCCGCTCTGATTTGTGAAAGCACTGGAGGTCAGCTCAGTCGTGCCGTCCATGCTGGTTGCGCGGCCTTGGCGACAGTAACTAGTACTGTTAGGAGCCTCTGTTCCGATTAGTGGCGCTGTTCAGCGAGTCTTGCTGTGAGCTTTATTGTAGGGTTCGCGCCCATCCCAGAACTCAAGGACGAGGCTTCTGCGCTCACCAGTGACAGGGCTGACCTTCGCATCCAACAGGTATCATGCTGACTGTTCGTGCAGTGTTCTACTCCAACTTTAAACGGGCGGGATAGTTCTAGCTACCTTGAGTGCCCTAGTGTTGCCTTCCGGTCTTGCGCCGATTCATCTCAATGATGCAGCTGGCCAAAGCCTGTCCTTGCAAGCTTCCTTCTACAAAGTTTGGGCTGTCTCCGGAAGGCTGATCTCTACCTGCTTCTGCTGGGCACGGGCAGAGCAAACTCAGACATGTTGAGGGGTCATTGCAACAACATTTGCAGATGTGGCCGTGGGAGGAGGCTCTATGTGAGCGTCGGCTTTTATTTGTTACCTGGGCCTTATGCGGCATTTTCCATCCACGGGCCCCCCATCTCGTTCGCCTTATTTCTAATCTTATACGGTACCTTGACAGAATCGCTTGATCTAGTTCGCCATGTTGGAGTATGTACTGGGCTCTGATTGCAAAGGAGACGGTGGCCTATCTGGCTCAATTCACGGCCCCTATCTAATTACTGCAGTTTCCAGAGGAATGCTGAACCCAGATGCAAAAATACCAATGCGTCCAGCCTTCTACTCACTACTCTCTTAAGCAAATACATGCGGCTGCTCATGTGACGGCATGTAAACGACATCCTTGTTGGTCTGGGATGTCTGGGTTGCCGACGTTATGCCTCTTCTCGGAGACGAAGACGACCTTTCTGATTAGACAGCCTGCTTCTGTAAAAATTCTGCAAACCTACAAACGAGCGCCGGTCAGTCCTCCCTGCTGTCACATTGCAAGAAGTGGCTCTCTACATCTAGCAAATGTGGCCGTGCATGGAGCATTCCTGATAATTGATGTCATGTGCAAGTTCTGCAACTACTTCTGGGACTTCCGCCGCATCTCCAATGTTCATGGTGTGCTCGACTTTTGTAGAACCCAAGAAAGTGCTGAAGATGCCGCCTTCGAACTTGTCTTGCCTCGACTTCAAAAGATGTGCAAACGCGTCGCGGGGATTCAAGGTTGATCTTGGATGATCTTGGCTAGGCAATGCTTGTGCTGCTGCATGCTGCCGCTGCCTGCAAAGAAGAATCGAGGCTGTCAGGAGCGACCCGTCGTCCTAAGTGCGGTGACAGCCGATGCGTCGCGCACATTCCAAATCAAACTTTTCAGCAACAAGTCCATCCAGAACAAATCAGGCCATGATTTCGTCGTCACACGGCTGTGCTTGGCAACAGCATCCAGCTTCCCTTCCCAATTAGGTGCACACGAACTTCGCGTGGCCTTGCACATACCCAGTGCCGTTCCTGGTGACGGCAACAAATTCTCCTGCTCAAAATGTTCATGGTTGTTCGTGATTTACCCCTGAGTTTCTTTCTGGTGTCACTCGTCGACAGAAACCCTTATTTTTGTTGGTCAGCAACTCACCGCCCAAACATGTTCTTCTCCACGTCTCTGGGAAAATTATGTGCAACTGTTCAACTTGAGGAATTGTTATTGCCCTAAATCCGCCAGGGTGTGCTCTCGCTCCCTACAAGCCTCAAAACCCGGGGGGATGCCCTAGCTGCGTAGACTTCCAGGTAATCGGGCCCTCAGAACCAGCGGTGCCCCGAACCCAGAAGCTAGCCGAGCCCAATGTCCTGGAAGGCCAATCTCAAAGCCATGCACAAGCCATGCTTGGAGGACTGAGATTCAGTCAAAATGTTAACCAGCGACATCGAATAAAGCCGCTGCGCAACACTGCACTGCCGACCTCGCACGTCCCAACAGATTTCTCTCGGACTTGGACGCTCTCTTTCCTTGCGCTGGCGCTCCAAGTTCTCTGAATCTTGGAAAGTTCAAGTACCCGATCTTATCCACAAGCTGGATGAACTTCTCACAATGCCGACTGCTCCTGGACATGGGGTCCCAGTATGGGCTGGAATCAGACTTGAACATGCGCTCAGGTCTCTCAAGAGTTGACGGGCACAAATACCCACAACCGATAGCAGCAACCGACGCGATTTTCGGGCTTGAAACAATGACTACTTGTCCGCTTCAAATGAGGCGTCAGAATGTGTCAGACTTGCGATGCACGTGTCTGGCAGTTGCCGGCACAGGGGACAGCGTGCGCATACGACGCCGCATGTATTTCAAGTCAAGCTGCTGAGGCCCTACCTCAATGTGGCCAAGAATCTCTGTGCTCAGGGTCCATCACTGACCCGCCGTCTGCATAAGCGTGGTACCTCTAGCTTCGTCAGGATGTCACGCAACACACACCGATTACTGCGGCTCCATTCCCTCGCTCGACCAAGTGCTTGCAGCCATCCGAATCTGAGTCCTGCCAGATACCTGCTGTCATTTCAAGGGGTCGTTGATTTGCGGGTTCATTGCCCCGTCTTGGACGCACCTTCTCCAAACTCGCCCGTGGCGGAACAAGTTTCGACGAGCACGAGGCAAAGGCCAAGCCGGTGGCCACAAATGCTACAGTTTAACTGCTGCCAAAGAGACTCCATGCTTCGAAGGCTGACTTCGGAGCGATGCCCGAGCAGTCCCCAACCTCAATGAGCCACAAATTTTAGGAAGGACAATGCGCTGCGGGGGGAGCGGGTTGCACAGGCTTTGTTGCTGGGCTTGCTGGGCACCGCTTGGCCGCTAGGTGCCGGATGGTACTCCCCTGTGAACAGAACCATGGCTCTCCCAAAAAGGTCTAGGCGGGTAGTTGGTATATTAGCGCTTATAATTTCTTATATGGGAATGGGAGCAGCCTTCGTCTTGAATGAAGCACACAGCTGCCAGCCTGCAAACGAATTCAGCCAATAGCATCCGCACAGGACAGCAGAAACAAGCATTAGAGGCAAATGTGCTTCCAAAATCAAAACGTATCAAAGCATTCGCGTTGGGCAGAGCACTGCTGTTGCTTCCATTCTTGCAGTCATTGCCATTGGTGCTTGTGTTGCTTGTGTCTTATGGCTCTACATCCTATCCGGCTGGCTCAATGTGCTGAAAGCGTTCGCATCGCCGGCTTTGTGTTTGCTGCTGTTGTAAGTGTCGCACTCTGTCTATCATTCGATAAGGTATTTCCAGGCCGTTCAATCGACGCGACTACGTTCTGGGTGACAAGGAAAAAGCCCAATACTGAAGCCACAGAAGCAAAACCCAAAACCTGTTATCTTCTCAGGCGACCACGGCACGCATCTTCGGACCTGGCGTTAAACATCCTACTGCGTAGGCCAAGTCACAATTTTTTGTCCTTTGCATTCCATGAAGACCGGTGATTCTTTGCGATGCCCTCAATTTGTAAGTTGGTGAATTCTGGCTTTCACCCAACCCATCATCACAGTTTCCTGTTGAAAGATGCTAAAAGCTTGTCATAGACACTCCCCATTATAGAGGTAATTAGGGCAGCAATCTCAGCTGCATGCTCAGGCCACCATGCCTTATACGCGTCGTCAAGGTCTCCTCTACAAACATGAGAAATTTGCGGTCTTCATCGCATAGACGCCCAGCAACCTTCAAGAGACAAAATCTGAAGCAGTGCTGCTCCCGCGCAGTTCCCAGCCTCAGTGCTGTGGAGGTATAGCACCCGATGTTGGCTTTGCTGGTGAAGAGCCCTTTCAGCGGCCTTGTGGAAGCTAACCTCATGATTGCAGCTTGATATGCCGAACTTCAGACATTTCAAGCAACGTTTCAAGCAAGACTCCTCGGAGTGAGCGAAGAGGTCGATGCCTTCTTCCCCAACCTCGAACGTCAGCAGCTTGGAGCCCAAAGCATCGAGTTGATCTGCTTGCTCCTGTAAGACGAAGGCAATTGGGGAACATGAATCCCCCATAGATCTTTTCAGGCCGAGCTTAGGAAACCCAATCCAGGCGTCCTCTGTGAGCACCTTGCAAAGCAAGGCAACCTGCGTGGCTTCAGCCTCCATTCGAGTTAGCTGCAAGGCCGGGAAGCCAGCAGACCAGGAGGCAACGTCCTTCGCCGATTCGCGTCTTAAATGCCCTCTGTACTGCAAAGTCTTACCTAAAAGAGAGTGAGCTGCTCCTGTCCAAACGGAGGAACCACAAAGACCCCCCAGCCTGAACGCAAATGCAGCGAGGCCAAAATATGCTTTTGATTTGACTGGTGCCAAAGCGAGGAGCTTCATGTCAAGAATCAACAAGCATCTACGAAGAACATGCGCAGCCCTCAGTAACAAAAGCACCGCTCTGCAGAACTGCATGAGGAACCCTTAGGAAGCATGCAACTATATAACTATAGGCATTTAACGGCATTAGCCTTTCCTTACATTAAGAACCCCTACCAGAATATCGCATGCTTGGGTTTTGATCCTTTCTCGCTCCCCTATCTGAAGCTGCAGCAAAAGGTGCGCTCCAAATCTCGGCAAACAGGCCAATCCAACTCATTCGCGTTTGCGAAGAGCGCCTTCTTCAGGAACAACGTGCAGTCTACAGTAACCACCTGTTGGTTTTGTAGGCCAATAGCAGCTTAGATGCGAGTTTGTCAACATGTGCCCTCTGTGATTCCTCCATACGGACCCCAGAAACTTCCAAATACGAGTCGTCAGAGGCGCATCTGGCTCGTTAAAGTCCACTGCCGAATCCAAGGACCTGAGCACTTCGCACATGAAGTCTGGCATGTTGCATGGTGTCTAGGTAGGCATGGCACAAAACACTACTGTTCTCTAGAGCTGTCTTTGGAACAGTGAAGTATACGGGGATATATGTTATCACCTGTCTATGACTTGAGTGTTTTCCTGGAGTTTTGGGAGCGCA